GGGTCTCTGAGGGCTCCAGGGCCGCCGCCGCCAGCTTGGCTGCTGCTGCTGCTGCTGCTGCTGCTGCTGCTGCTGCTGCTACTGCGACTACCGTGGTCGGTGTGGGGGGCCGAGGCGTTCTGCGGTGAGTGGGAGCGCCCCGAGGGGCAGGCTTGGTCACTGTCAGGGGATGAAGGGGTTGAACAGACCCCCAACTCCCTCCCCGCTCCCGGGAGTGCGCCGCCAGGACAGAGAATTAGAGAGGGTTGGGAAGGTGTCCCTGGGACCTGCCCAGGGATTCTCACTTGAACTTGGCCGAAGGGCCCAGACTTGCACACTCTGCCCAACTGCCACAAGGCCGAGGGGCAGGAATCCTTATCCTCTGAGCAGCGCCGCCCCTCAAACCCCTCTGCCTGGATTCCCAGGCCCCATCCTCCAGTGGAAACATTCCTGCACCTCCATCCCTTAAGCCTCAAGGGTCTTCCTCCTCTGGAAAGCCCCTAGCCCACTGCAAAGCCCCCCCCCCCAACCCTGCTGTGATCTCAGACCAGGGGACGACTGTGACCTCCACACTCACCCATCACCCAAGCTCACCCCATCCTGGGCCTTGGGCCAGTGTGTAACTAGTTCATGCTGTTGCCATGTTTGGTTAGAGGAGGGCTTCTCACAGAAGGTAACCTCTTCAACCCTCTGTGAGGCGGGGGCGGATCAGCAGCTCTGAGTAGGTGGGAGGATTGGTGGAGGCCTGGACGTCAAATGCCTGGGAGGGTCAGGGAGAAGGCAGGACAGGCTGGGCTGGGAAGGGGGTAGCTTGCAGAGCACTGTGGAGGGGGAACCCAACAGGGATAGGACCCCTGAACCCTCAGGGAGAGGGATCACAGCCCTCATTCTCGTGGTGATGGTCCGCAGGCATTCCACTGATTCCTCCTCCGCAGCCTGGAGTCAGGGGAGGGGGATGCAACCCCCTGGGAGGAGTGGAGAGGGGCTCTATGCTCCCCAACACGACACTGGCTCCCCTAGTTTCACTTAGTCACCACAGCTCCATCTCTGCCTCCCTCTCCCCCATCAAGGTGCCAGAGGCCAATATGTGGGAGGCCTGGGCCCAGCAAGACCTGGTTCTCCACACCCAGTGAAGTCCTCTCTGGGCTAAGAGATCCTCCCCTCTCCCCAGAAGCGCTCAGACCCCTGCCCACACTTGCCCTGTCTGATGGCAACTGCTTGATAGCAACTCACTCATCCAATCAGGGAGGGCTTCTTGGAGGAAGGGAACTCCTGGAGTTGCTGCTATTCCAGGTCTTTGATGATGGGGTCTGGGGAGGAGACAGAGAAGGAGAAAGGAGTTGGGGTGGCCTGGCAGTTGCTGAGCCACTTCCACAGGCCAGCGTCTCATCCTGGGCAGGGCTGGGTGGAGGTGGCGGAGCTGTCAGTTCTGGGAGCTGGGCTTCCCCAGCACTGAGTGCCAGAGGGGTGGGTGGGCTGCCTGCAGGCGCTGGGCTGCCTGGGGCCTGGCTCCTGCAGGGGGGTATAGTTCGAAGTTACTGTAGTCCTTGGGAGGAGGATGATTGGGGGCATTCCAGGGGAGCATTCCAGCTTCCTCTGAGTAATGCTTGGCTCTGGTATTCCTCCCGGAGCTCCTGAAGCACACCCACTCCCGCAGGGAGCACTCGGGCTCTGTCCCCCAGCCTCGGGGCCAGGGTCCCTGGAAGCCCCACTTCCTGCATGAAGCCCCCAAAGGCAGCTCCTCCCAAGAAAACATCTAGCTGTTGTTTTTCTCAGAGGGTGGTGGAGACACAGGCATCCTCTTCACAGATCTCTCACCCTGAAGGCATCTGCTGCCCAGTCTAAAAATATCCCAGGCTGCCTTCCTCTTTCCCCCTTGCACTGGTGGCCTTGGTCTCTCCCTCGTGACCTTTGACACCAAGCCCTCCCCCAAGGTCAGTGGGGCTCCAAGCATCCGCAGCTGAACTATCCTTCCTAGGCTCCTCGGTCTCTCTTCTGCCGCCCCCCAGGCTGCTCCTCGGTTCCCAGGACACCCCATGGATTGTTGAAGATGGATGGTCAGACCCCATCCCTCTGTTGTCCCTGCTCCCCTCTGCTCCTCAGGTTCCCCCTCACCCTGTGCTCTGTCCTCACACCAGGAAACACCCCCGGAGAGCCAGTCACCCCTCACTGGGTCCTGGACGGAGGAGCCTGGCGCGTGGTCACGCTGGAGGAGCCGGTCAGTGCCACATCATCCCTTCCTCTGCGGGGCCCAGGCTCTCCCAGCCCCTGGGCCCCTCCCCAGGTTGCAGTGTGGCAGTTTTACTGCGTTCCCTCAGTTCCCCTCCCATCCCTTTAGGCTCCTCCCGGAAGGGTTAGCAGGCAGGGGTGGGGAGACATCTAGATTATGTGAGCCTGCACACATGGAAGTCATTTTCAGGCTTCCCCCTCACTCCCACTGCCTCCTCTTTTCTCCCTTCCCACAACTCTCCAGGCACAAAACTTCAGGGATCTCTTTAAGAAAACACAAACTTTGCCTTTCGCAAAGTTTTCCAGAACATGTGACCCTGTGGACACATTGCTGTCCCCTCCAGGACCCTGCCATCGAGGGGCCTGAAACTTCAGCCTCACGGGCTCATGCAGAATCCACTTCTGTCCAGGGGGTAGTGGTCACTCTTCTGGTGGCCCTCAGATGCAAGCTCACCCCATTTTGCTTCTCCAGGAGGCTCTGCCCCAATCTCCTCCCAACACCCACCCATCACACACTTTCAGAATAACCATAGCCCCACCCACATGTGCCACACAGCTAGCTGTGCTGCAAACCAGGAGGCAGTGGCCTCGGTATGCCCATCTCAGAGAGGGGCACACGGAAGCCCAGAGAGGTTGGAGAAACTGTCCAAGTTCGCACCGCTCTTTAGCCTAGAAGTCTGAGACCCACTAGGGTCTGAAAGACTTCAAACCATTGGCCAATGTCCCCCAAACCTAGAGAGCCCTCTTCACCCTGAATTTTCAGGCAAGAAAGGACAACCCATTGTCCAAGCCACGCTGGCCCTGGAGGAAGACAGGAGAGCACTGCCATGAGGCCAGGAGGCGGACACAGGCCCACAGCTCCCTCGCTGGGTCCCCCAGACCCTCAGGGTCCCCATTCAAGTGGTCAAGCATGGCGCTGGCCCAAGCTTTGAGATCATTTTCCTGGACATCACCAGCAGAGGGAAAGGCTGGGCTCACGCTGGAGTCACCCTGACTGTGGACCCTCCTGGTCTGGCCTGGGCTGTGACCAGGAGCGGAATCCTAGGGGGGCCTTGCTTTTCCCACTCACCGGCCCTTGCCCGCAGGGAGCCTGCCGAGATGAGGTCAGTGTTGAGGCAGGGAGTCCTGTCCCAGCGGAAGGAAACACTCACATTTCAGGTCAGGGATGGGGTACATAGTGAAGGGTAAAGGCACTAGGAGGGCAAGAAGTGAGGACAGCAGGGGCACAGAGGTGCAGAGGGACAGAGAGGGGATTCTGGGGTCTGGGGGTGGCAGGAGGAGGCTTTTCATTGGGGCCACTGCCTTTCCTTGGTACAAACCTTTCTCCAATAAAGCAAGTGGCATTCCGGCCCCATGAGCTCATGCTTGGGGCCTTGCTGAGCTCCTGCTGGGGCAGGGAGCTGTCTGCTCCCCACCTGCGGAGGAAGTCTCCACTCCAAGACTGTGAGCCCCTTGGCCTCCGGCCCAGCCCGTGCATTGTGGACTAAAAAGGAAGGGTCAGCGAGGGTTGGGGCTAGCATTCCGAAGACACAGCAGCTCTCCCGCAGGCTCCTGGGCTGCCTCTGGGCCCCCAGCCAGACCGAGTGGACGAGGGAGGCAGATGAGTCTTCACACGTGGGAAGCAGGGAAGGAGAGGCTGGCCTGCTGGCCCGGCCCACGCCCTCCCCCCTTCCCTCCCCCACAATCTGGCCAAGAACGCCAGTGTTTTTCTCTTGGCCTAGACAAGGGGTCTGTGTTTACTTCATAGGATCCGTGAAACAGGTGTGGGCGAGCCTGCTGGAGACCAAGGAATTTCAGGGCCTGACATTTTGTCAGAATTGGAGGTGGAGGAGTAAAGTCTGAATTCTACCGGGAGCGGGGAGAAAAGATGCCAAAACCAGAGGTTGTGAGGAGGCCCGAGCCATGGCTACCTGACATCCACCCACCCCCTGCACTGTCTTCAGGACCCCACTTCCTTCCTGCCTAGGGGAAGCCTCGGCATGAAAGAGAAGGAAGAGCCAGAGGGAAGGCCCAGTAACCTTGAGCAAGGCAGGGCCCATTTCTGGGACCCCTCGTCTCTCTAGGGAGGAAGCCGTGTGTCCCTAGCGGGCTACGTCAAATGGCTGTTGTCAGAAAGAACATCCTGAGTTTGGGAACATCTCACCCCCACGCCATCCATGCCCATCAGCATGCTCTCACCCCCACACCCATCCATACCCACGAGGGCAAGCAGGGACCTTCTGCCCCTCACCCCCATGTTCTCCCCATGAACTCCCTGGCCAGCTGGCTCCCCACCCACCAGCTCCCTGGCAAGCAGGAGGCCAGGCTGCCTGCCACCTCAGCCCTGCACTCCTTCTCGCCCAGGTCTTGAAGCTCGACACAGGGCTGGTAGCCTTGGAGGCTGGAGGCCAGGAGCTCCTCCTGGAGTTAGAGAAGAACCAGTGAGTACCAGTCCAGGGAGGGGGCTGGGAGCCAGGACAGCCTCTCTCTCTGGGGGTGGGGAACAATGCTGGGGGCAGGGACTGGTGGGAACCCAGGAGGGAGGTTGGGAGGGGGAGGGCTCCCTTGAGGCTGAAATGGCCTGTTGGGCTGGGTCAGCCCTGCTTTGAGGCACATCCTTCACCCAGGCCCCAGGAGCATCTTGTCAGCTCCCTGCCAGAAATGAGTGTGCATCACCCAATGGGCTCTCGAAAAGAACCCTGAGTCCAAAGAGAATCCAAGATAGGTTCCCTGGATGGGCAGGCTCTCCAGGCTAATGGGATGACCAGGGCAAAGGTGAAGTGGTACAAAGATCAAGGCACATTCAGGGGGCACAATTTGTCTGGCAGGGAAGAGAGCAAAGGGCAACAGATCTGGGGAGTCCCAGTGGGGCCGGATCATAGAGGCCATTTCAGTGCTGAGTATCCTGGATGGTGCAGAGCCAAAGATTTTAAGTTGGTGAATGAGCAGGCAGAGCTGGGCTGGATGGGGTGGGTGTCCAAGTGACTCTATTACCAACAGCTATTTATGTATCAAGCGCTTGTTTCATTGCAGGCACTGCTCTAAGCACTCCACACAGGTTATTCTTCCCATGGAATCAGATGCACTAGGAATAAGCTAGTTCCACCATGCCTACCCACGGTTTCTCTGGGGTTTGGTGTCCCCCACCTTAAACGGGTTGATCATATCACCTGCCTCCTAAGGTTGTGTATGGAGTGAGGCGCAAAGCTTGAGAAGGTGAAGGAAAGACTGGAGGGTGGAGAAGCAAGGATCAAAGATCTTTGGGGTGGTCTGGCAGTACAGAGGTCAAGAGAGATTGACTTATGGTTGATCCATCTTGGTGGGAGGGATCCTGGTGAGATGGGGCCCAAAGATGGAATCATTAAGGGAATGAGCATCACTGAAGGACAATTGGGGAGATATGTGGGGTCTGCAGGCCATAGGAGAAGATTCAAGGATCCTTGAGGGAGGGAGGTGGACTAGAGAGAGGATTGACCAGATGCCCAACAAGGCTAGGCAGCAGGAAGGGCCACCTGGGGAATTCAACCGCACTTCCGTGGCTCCGAGTACCACCTGCTCAGCAGTGTCTCCTGAGTCCTCTCCTCCTGCCCAGCCTTAGGCCTGGGGAACCAGCTGCCTGCCACCGGCTCCACAGGATCACAAACTGCCCCTATTGCTGCTCCTCCCTGGTGCTTCCCACACTCCCAGTTCCCATATCTAAGCTACCGCCAAGCTTCCTTCCTGCTCTTCACTTTTCTCCCTCTAGCCCAGTGGTTCTATACCTTCCTAATGCCACGACCCTTTAATACAGTTCCTCATGTTGTAGTGACCCCCAACCATAAAATTATTTTCGTTGCTACTTCATAACTGTAATTTTGCTACTGTTATGAATGGTAATGTAAATATCTGATATGCAGGATGTATTTTCATTGTTACAAATTGAACATAATTAAAGCATAGTGATTAATCACAAAAACAATATGTAATTATATATATGTTTTCCGATGGTCTTAGGCGACCCCTGTGAAAGGGTCGTTTGACCCCCAAAGGGGTCGAGACCCACAGGTTGAGAACCGCTGCTCTAGCCCAAGGTTTTTCTGAGCTAAGCAACACACAGTCATTTCTGTCCCTTTCCTAAGACACACTGTGGGTGCTTCTTTTTTTAAAAAAAATATTTTTATTGATTTCAGAGAGGGAGAGAGAGATGGAATCAATGATGAGAGAGAATCATTGATCGGCTGCCGCCTGCACGCCCCCTACTGGGGATCGAGCCTGCAACCCCAGCATGTGCCCTGAATCGAACCGTTACCCCCTGGTTCATAGGTCAATGCTAAACCACTGAGCAACACCGGCCGGGCTGGGTGCTTCTTAAGTGCTAGCCCTGTGCCTCACTCATAGAGCTGCTCAATTAGCATTCAGGGAGGAAGGTTGGAGGGCATCCTGGAGGAGGCAGAGCTGAATTAGGTGATCCCTACAACACCCCTTCCCAGCAGGCTGCTGGCCGCAGGATACACAGAAACCCACTACAGCCCAGATGGGCAGCCAGTGGTGCTGGTCCCCAACCAGAGGGTGAGATACTTCCATGGGCACTGAGGTCAGGGTGAGGGGTGCTAGGCATGCACTCCCCGAGGGCCTCCCCACCATTCCTTCCCCATTCTCCTGTTCCTAAGGAGAGGCTGGAGCCAACCCCTCCCCACCCCCAACCTGCCCTTCCCACTTCAGTCCTGGCTGAGATTTGAGGCTGGATCCCTTGCTCTCCAGGATCATTGCCATTACCATGGGCACGTGAGGGGCTTCCCGGACTCCTGGGTAGTCCTGAGCACCTGCTCTGGGATAAGGTGAGGAGTTCTGGGGGAGGGGGCTGGGCCTGGGGCAGGGGTAAGAATTCGCTCACACCCCCTTCTGCACCCCTCTGCATCCTAGGGGTCTGATCACGCTCAGCAGCAATGCCAGCTATTATGTGCATCCCTGGCCAGCTGGGGATGCCCAGGGTGCCTCAACCCACAGGATCTTCTGGACCGAGCAGCTACTTAGCTGGAAAGGGGCCCGTGGCCATAAGGATCCTGAAGACAAAAGGAAGATGAACAGCCTTTCTCCTGCCACCCAGATCAGGGTCAGGGGCACAGACAGGGGTGGGAGTGGGAATGCAGTAACCACAGCCCTCCAAATCCGGACAGGAAAGTGTGGCCCATGTTCAGGGTCTCCTGTCCTGATGTTTTATTTGGAGGCTGAAGAAACAAGTTCTTGAAAAATGTTAAAGTTACCTTTGTGCTTTCCAGGGATTGGGGTTGGTGGTCAGGGCTCAAGCCAGCAGCCTGCCACTCAGGGTCACTGTTGCCTCTCCGCAGGACTGCCGGGAAGCCCAGCGAATCCCGAAGTACCTAGAGCTGTACATAGTGGCGGATCACGCCCTGGTGAGAGGAAACTCCAGGGGGCTGCCCGGCTGAGAGGGGCCAGTCAGCCTGTCACATCACCATATTGCTGCCTTTCCAGTTTGTGACCCAGCACCGGGACTTAAACCACACCAAACAGCGGCTTCTGGAGATCGCCAACTACGTGGACCAGGTTGGTAGTGGCGGCCACAGGGGCGGGCAGGTCCCAGCTGGAGGAGGCAGGCTTGGAGATGAGGAGAGCATATAGGGGGAGAGAGGGGCCACCAGCAGGATGGTGTGCCTGGTCCCTGCTTCAGGCCCGTCCTGCCCTGACCATAGATTCTCAGGACCCTGGACATTCAGGTGGCGCTGACCGGCCTGGAAGTATGGACCGAGCAGGACCAGATCCGCATCACGCCGGATGCGAACAACACGCTCTGGGCTTTCCTGCGGTGGCGCCGGGGGCTGTGGGGGCGGCAGCCACACGACTCCACGCAGCTGCTCACGTGGGTGCCTCCCATCCCCACACGGGTCCCGGCTGGGCGGCTCCTCCTCCCCGCGCGCATCACCAGGTCACGCTGCGCTCCACCCTCAGGGGCCGCGCTTTCCGGGGCGACACCGTGGGCCTGGCACCCGTGGAAGGCATGTGCCTCGTAGAGAGCTCTGGAGGCGTAACCGCGGTGAGCTCCGCGGACGGGACACGGGACAACAGGAGAGGTGCGGGGCGGGCTCCGCAGCCCGCAGTGACCGTCCTGTGCCCGCGTCCTCGCAGGATCACTCGGAGCTTCCCATCGGCGCTGCAGCTACCATGGCCCACGAGATAGGCCACAGCCTCGGCCTCAGCCACGACCCCGACGGCTGCTGCGTAGGGGAGGCAGCGGAGCCAGGCGGCTGCGTCATGGCAGCAGCCACTGGGTACGTACCGACCATACCGACCACCGGGTGGGGAAGGAGGAGAGGAGCTGCTAGGCCCAGTGGTTCTCAACCTTCCTAATGCCGCGACCCTTTAATACAGTTCCTTATGTTGTGGTGACCCCCAACCATAAAATTATTTTCGTTGCTACTTCATAACTGTAAATTTTGCTACTGTTATGAAATCATAATGTAAATATCTGATATGGCAGGATGTATTTTTCATTTGTTACAAATTGAACATAATTAAAGCATAGTGATTAATCACAAAAACAATATGTAAATTATATATGTGTTTTCCGATGGTCTTAGGCGACCCCTGGTGAAAGGTCCTTCGGACCCCCAAAGGGGTCGCGACCCACAGGTTGAGAACCGCTGTCTAGGGAGGCTCCACTGGACCCGGGGCCCTTCCTCGGCTGCACTCCTTTGGGTGCACGCTTGTCTCCCAGTTTCCTCTTCTGGAAAACGGGGGTATGATCATCGTACCGCCCCCGAGTTGTGAGGCTTAAATGGAGTAAACACAGGACAGTGAAAGCTCAGGAGTATAGAGGTTCTTTTCGGAAACGCCTAGCCAGGCTGTTCCTACAGGGCTGGCCGCGCTGGGTCGGGATTCCACGTTCAGTCTGGCGCTGCTGGCTCCGGGAGGCACGCCCTCCCGCCCCGGTCCAGCTGGGCGCCTTCGCTCGGGTTACGCACCCTCTCTGGGCTCTGCCCCTGAAGCATCCGAGCCGCCGGGCACGCAGCTGTGCGGCCCGGCACGGGTGGTTCTGCAGAGACCGGAGAGGGGCAGGGCGTTCAGGGGGCGATCCCTGCCGGCGCCGACGCCCTTGCCCGCCCGCAGGCACCCGTTCCCCCGCGTGTTCAGCGCCTGCAGCCGCCGCCAGCTGCGCGCCTTCTTCCGCAAGGGGCGCGGCTCGTGCCTCTCCAACCCGCCGGGCGCCGGGCTCCCGGTGCGGCGGGCGCGCTGCGGCAACGGCTTTCGTGGAGGAGGGCGAGGAGTGCGACTGCGGCGCCGGCCAGGTGAGGTCCGCGCGCCAGCCCCTGGAGGCCGAGGATGTTCCGGGCCCACCACCTCTTTCAAGGACAGGGTCGCGCTGGACATCATCTAGGCCTCTTCTCTGTCTTTTTGGCGTCAGGGAGATCCCAACCACCAGCTGCTTCGTGCCAAATTGCCTCGCTGCGGTCCAGAGGCACGGTCCCTCCTCGGCGACTGCTACGCGAAGCTGCCTCGTTTTCGGACCCACACGCTCCTGAAGCCAAGA